TCAGCTGCGACAACCCCTATCCAGTTTCAGTGAGGAGCTTTCTCCGTAAAAGTCTCACGCCGTTATACTCTTTTCCCGCCGTAATACTCTTTTCCCGCTATAAAAAGTCTCACGCTGTAATACTATTTTCCCGCCGTAAAAGTCTCACGCCGTAATACTCTTTTCCCGCTATAAAAAGTCTCATGCCGTTATACTCTTTTCCCGCCGTAAAAGTCTCACGCCGTAATACTATTTTCCCGCTATAAAAAGTCTCACGCCGTAATACTCTTTTGCCGCCATAAAAAGTCTCACGCCGTTATACTCTTTTCCCGCCGAAAAAGTCTCACGCCGTAATACTACTTTCCCGCTATAAAAAGTCTCACACCGTAATACTATTTTCACGCTGTAAAAAAAAAAAGCCTGTGATACAAGATTTAGACTCTTTTTTAATAATGTGGGTGGTCCTTAAAAGGACCGAGATATTCATGTATTGATTTAATCAAAAGTCACCATTCAAGTTCAATACATATTTCATGTAACATGTCGAGATGTTTGAAAATGTCTCTTACTGGTAAGTTACATTTCAATATTTTCTGATGTAGATCAGCAATCTGGTAAAATTTGACCAGTTTATAAATATAACTAGCAGAATACACAAGTTCGTGCTTTGCGAAGTAGGGACACAACTCATCCTTATGTAGCTTCAATTTTTGTTTCAAAACAAAAATAGTTTCTCCTTGTCCGAACGTATAGAACAGTACATTTCGTCTTGTGTGAACGATTTTCTTCTGTAGATTTTTAATTCTAGTGATACAGTCCTTTTCATTTCGCAAATCAGGCGGTAATTCTGTTAAATCATCATCTTCTTGTTCTTGGTAACTTTCCATCAATTTTCGTTTGAACATTTCCCTTTCTTCCTGCTTCGTTCGTTTCTGTGCAATTTTTTTCCTCTCTTTTTCACATTTCGATATTTTCGCTGATTGCTCAGCAAAGCGCTCGAGTTTTGTCCAGTACTCGTTCAATTCCTGATCGCTAGGATAAGCGTTGCATAAGTAGTTTCTGAAATCATCCATGATTGTACAAAATACCTTCCAGTCTTCTCCGTTCATTTCTGTATAATCCAAACAAAACAACGTCACAAAGGCAGTTAGCAACACTGCAAAACGATAACGTCTTAAAGCCCGCTTTAAAAGGTTATTGACGTACTGGCTATACAATAAGGGCATTACTAAAATCTTGTGCGTATCAAATGCGCATGCGCCGTAAAAAACGTCACACATCGTTCCGTTACGCTTCACTACACACATCGTTTCACGATGTGTTCCATTCCGCTTCACTTCACGATGTGTGACGTTTCAAGCATAAAAAAAAAAACTTTTCCAATCCGGCAGAAATGTCGGATCGGAAAATTTTTTTGTACCCCACCCGGCCCATTATTTTTTTTTTTTTTTTTTGTACAAAAGAATTTACCACTTATATTTAAACCAAAAAATTTAAAATATATATTTAGTTGTGGTTCAATAATATTAACATGTATATAATTTTTTAAAAGTTTTTTAATTTAACTAATTTTTAAAATATTTAAGAAAAAAATATGGACTTACTTTCTCACAAGGTTGCAAGAAAAGTACTTCTGTTTGGTCTTTTTACTGACTTCTAAGCCTGTACTTCTCACAAAGGCTCCTTCCAAGGGTTCCATCTCTCTGTTCAGTATACTGCAAGCCCACACCCTTGTCGTTTCTCCTCTGTTTTTCAAGGTGAGGATCTTACTCCTCCCAAACTTCCCATCTACTTCTACCACTTCCAGGATTTTATAAATCACACCGGTTGGGAGTTCCTTCCATTTTAGGGTTTCCAGGCTCTGGTCCTTTGCCTTTTCCTCAAAAACATTATCGTTGATAAAATCGTTGTCTGTGATTTTTGAACTTTTAAGTTCCTCCATCTTTTGTACGAAAGTCATATTTTGTTTCTACCCTAGGATTACATCCCTTTAAGGTGTTTCTACCATTATTTGCAAAAGTCATATTTGTATTTACCCTTAGACTAATTAAAATGCTAGTCCATTTACATTGTAAAAAATCTAAAGTTGGATTTATGCTAAATTTCCCCTTAAAAATGGAAAGTACCGCAGAATCGGCCTTTTTACACTACTTACTAAAGTATCAATCAATACACATCCAACGGATTTAGCCGTCATAAACAGTTTGGAAAACGCCTGACCTTGTGCACTGCTCAAACAATTAGTAAACAGTATCGACAGGATGTTGGATCATGATTTAACATAATCTTTAAAATTGAGAATGGAAATGGGGAATGTGTCAAAGAGACAACAACCCGACCACAGAACAGACAACAGCAGAAGGCCACCAACAGGTCTTCAATGCAGCGAGAAATTCCCGCACCCGGAGGCGTCCTTCAGCTGGCCCCTAAACATATTGTACATATATAGCAATATTTATTTAGTTGTGTTTTAATTTTTCAAAAACAAAATCAATGTTAGTACCTATAAAAACAATATCTAAAGACGTACCACTGTGTTGAATTGATAACGTTTAAGAATAAGTTTATTAAAAGAGAGGCGACATTCAAACTCACAAGTCGAAAACAAACTAACAATGCCATGGCCACAAAAAGAAAAAGACCAACGGACAAACAATAGTACACAAAACACAACATAGAAAACTAAAGACTGAGCAACACGAACCCCACCAAAAACTGGGGGTGATCTCAGGTGCTCCGGAAGGGTAAGCAGATCCTGCTCCGCATGTGGTACCCGTCATGTTGCTCACAAAAGGATCAATAAGTTTACATGGAACATGTATAAATTAGCGGTCTTTATAAATAGGCACAGCTAAACTTTCTAACTAAATCTTTGTATCATTGAAATAATTTGGTAAAGGTTTTAATCAATTTGATATAGGTTTATCTTATTTTATGAATATAGTCATACTAGTTTAGAGTGTGTTGTTTCTTTTGCGTAATAAACATGTACTAATTAACAAAACATTTTTAGTAGTCCTTATCAAATCAGAAATGGGATGACCTGGAAATGAGGTGCAAGTATTTATGGTAGCTCTGTTGTTGTCTCTTAAAGGCAAGAAGTTTGAAAGACTCAAAAAATCAAATTAGTAGCTGTCGTTTGGGAAATGGAGGCGATTTTGCAATAGTCACTCCATGACGTTTTCAAAATGAAAAAAGTTTCACCATATATCATCTATAAATTATAAAAATATTCAATATAGATATTAGGTCATGGGCCTAAATCTTAAACTTCGAGGTTAAATGCAAGACTTATCATCTTCGTAACCGTTAAAGAAGAAATGGTAACTGTTCAAGTGTGATCTACATTGTACATATTTCATTTCTTTGATGATTATTAGCACTTTATAAGATTACAGAATTGCCCTGGTTTCGATCTAGCAAGGTCACTTTACCCAAACTGGTCTATCTGAAGTAATATTCGTGCATATTAAAAGTACTTACAAGATATAAAATCGTAAGTTAATCAGAGAGAACCAATCAGAAGATATCGGCAGTTTCTACACACATGTTTGGACTTTGTATTCCATGACTATACAGAATCAATTTACATAGTGGATTTTTTTGGTTGTAAATTAATTGAACACTGTGAACGACCAGTTCAAAATCTTCAAATATAAGTACATCGTTCTTTTAAGATAAAGCAAAAAAAAAATAATTCTGACATGCATGTATAAGTAATATTGAATGAAATTTAATACAACCTTCAGCAAAAAATAAAAAAAACCCAAATAAAACAGCTACCAGAAAGTAAATATCATACAGAAAAATTTGGCCAATTACGGGATTACCATCAATAAATCTGTTTCTATCTCTCTTCATTCTTTTCTTCCTCTCTTTTTATCTTTTAAAGTTATTTGGTCTACAATTATGAATGGTAACTTTGAAACTCTCTTTCTTGTTTCAACTCATGTATCAATAAAACTAATATAATATAATTTTGAAAGGAATGAATTGTTTTACTATTTTTGCAGGAGCCAAACTTTAATGGCTGTTGTCATACCTCCTTTCTGTCCTGCACAATATACGCCCTTTTCTGAACGGTAAGCAAAACAAAAACAAAAACAACAGCAACAAGATCAAAGCGGTAGTGCAAACAAACTTTTAGGAAAAGAAGGGACCGCTAGGTAGGGAACATGCATAATTATTACACCACACCATCAATCATAGTTTACGCCGCGCTGAATAACCGAAGCGGCGGCGATCTTGTTTTGCTATGCACCGTACTTGCGACGTATATCTGTATATAATGTCCAGGATAATATCATCAAGAATATTAAACCTGGGAACACTATACATATGGATTGTGTCATATTGGTTTCGGAATTTTGATATTTGCTATAAGGTAGCCAGAATTATCATGAACGAAAACAAATTTCTTGATAACTAGTTAAATGAGTGAAATCTTCTTAAAGACTTGGAATAACCAGTTGAAACTAAAACCACAAGTGACATGCAAACTTAACAAATGGTATCAGAATGCGTATGTTATACCTGGGGCATGGTTCCCAGGATTAAAAAAAAACGGAAATCATCATCAAATCCTCACACATGCATTTTAAGACAGAAACAAAATATTATAAATAAAATAAAGTAAAAATATCATTAGATTTATGTTATAGATTACCTTTTTGGTAATATTTGAAATAGACGTCGTATGATTTTATTTTCTTGCTTATGAACTTTGCTCTATATTTATCAGACCATCAGTTAAAGTTGAATATGGTGCCATGTAACAAGTCCTCGTGTGACATCAAACTATGGAATATCTCAATTGCTATCGAGTAGGGGAGGAAAAGCAATAATCTTAATTACTGCATCATATCTTTTGGGAATTTTCAATAATTAATATTTTACATTAATGTATTCTTACCTCTAAACAAAATCTTTTATTTCAAAATTAAATCATGTTGATACAGTTTACAATTCAGACAGTGACAACCTTTGTCACCCTCCAGTTGAATTTAGAATGAACTATTCCAAGAGAAATATACAACTATAAGAAGTGCCTGTTATCATCCTAATGCTTTACTAATTGACCATACACCAACTGGACATTGTACATTATGATCAAGTTCCTAATTTTCTCTTGTGCGTTGGTCGCAGCTTCTGCTGTCGTCATTCATAACTACAAGGACTGTGGTAAGTAATATTTCATTTTGCTGAAAAAATTGTATGTATTTATTCAAAATATATTTGTATGTAAAATGATCTTCCATGATTTTATACCTTAATTCTTTAGTAACGTAGTTGTTTAAAAATGCTCAAAAAAGTGAAAAACAATACGTCTGCCTTTAATTAACCCCCCCCCCCCCCCCCCCCCCCCCCCAAAAAAAAAGAAAAAAGAAAAAAAGTATAAGTCATTCCGCTCAATTTAACCCACACCTCAAATCAACCTCGAGAGGACCATTTGCACAACAGAGAGAGGGATAAGAAGTTTTGTTATAACCTTTTGATGTTATTTTCATTTGTTAATTCGGAGTAACATTTCCAATAAGTATAAATAAAAAGAATTCATTCTCTACGCTATGTCTCAAGATTCGATCTTTTGTCACGTAGCTGATCTGTTCTTTACCTTTGAGAGTCTTCTGCGGTCCTCATTTATTTTTTCTAAAGGTATTTTTTTTTGTATCATGGCAAATCAAACAACTGTCTTCTTCAATAGAAGTTTTCTTTTTCTATCCATTATTCAAATGCAAAATGAAAACTCTTACAAGAATGAGTAAAAATATTTGTAAACTGTGTAAATAGTCATCAGTTCAATTTAAACTTTGGTATATTTGATAAGTGTCATATGTTTTGTGTAATTACATTCAATAATAAATTATATATATTCAAAGACAGGACATGGCTTTATAAGTTTAAAAATCTGTCACTAGGAGTCTATTTCAACAGTCGGACATTCCACTTTAGCCTTAAAAAAGAATGTGTTGCTTTATGACCAGACAATCAAATTCCTTTCTCTGAAAACAATACTAACAGATGCTTTTCATATCACTTTCAACCAAAATTAAACTTTTTGCCAAAAATTTCATTTTGGATAAAATATACCGAAGTTGGCACATTAGCCTACTTGGCTGTATAGATAATGTATGTCATTGCACTCCATATTTCAGTACTAATTTTGCTTATCTAAGGCATTTGATAAAAGTAGGACAACCGCTTATGAATCAAAATAGTTTTGCATATACCTTCCAAGTTATTTAATGACTAAACAAACGTGTCCGCTTTAAAATATTATCATAAAAATGATTTTCACTGAAAACATCACTGACAGTTGTTTTCTACGCCACTTTACACCAAAATATATGTTTCATCCACATGCAATTTCATTTTGAATTAAATATTCCGAAGGCGTCATATTGGCAAATGCGTCACATTAGAATACTTTGCTGTACAAATAATGTGTGTCATAACACTCCGTATTTTAGTACTTAGTCTGCTTATCTAAAGCATTGAATAAAATGTAGGACAACCGAATATAGATCGAAATAGTTTTGCATATAACTTCCAAATTATTCAACGACTGTACAAACGTGACCGCGTTGATTTATTATCATAACATGAATGATATAATTTAGTATAATACATTATTGATAAGTCACAACTATTACAGAATAATCTACATGAAGCAGATGTATGTATATACATCGGAGGAAAATGTTTGACAAGAGTATACAGTTAATCAAAGAAGACCTATACACTATTCTTGAAATGGCATATCATACTTAAAAGATACAAAAATTAAAAATTAATACAATAAGAAATATGATAAACGAATAGCCAATACATTGAGAGAGAAAGAGAGAGAGAGAGAGAGAGAGAGAGAGAGAGAGAGAGAGAGAGAGAGAGAGAGAGAGATACACTCTTATCATATAAGTTCATGCTTGGAAAAGCAACTTTTTACTCTGATAATCATTGTATATTCAGGTTCCCGTGATGGACTTGTCAAATCAATCGAGAGAGAGAGAGAGAGAGAGAGAGAGAGAGAGAGAGAGAGAGAGAGAGAGAGAGAGAGAGAGATACACTCTTATCATATAAGTTCATGCTTGGAAAAGCAATTTTTTACTCTGATCATCATTGTATATTCAGGTTCCCGTGATGGACTTGTCAAATCAATCGAGAGAGAGAGAGAGAGAGAGAGAGAGAGAGAGAGAGAGAGAGAGAGAGAGAGAGAGAGAGAGAGAGTTACACTCTTATCATATAAGTTCATGCTTGGAAAAGCAATTTTTTACTCTGATAATCATTGTATATTCAGGTTCCCGTGATGGACTTGTCAAATCAATCGAGAGAGAGAGAGAGAGAGAGAGAGAGAGAGAGAGAGAGAGAGAGAGAGACAGAGAGAGAGACTCTTATCATATAAGTTCATGCTTGGAAAAGCAATTTTTTACTCAGATAATCATTGTATATTCAGGTTCCCGTGACGGACTTGTCAAATCAATCGACATCAGCCCTTGCACAGCAGAACCTTGTAAATTGAAACGTGGAACAAATGTGACAATCGCCATTACCTTTACTTCAAGTAAGTTACATAATATTTAATTGGAAAATCCGACCGCAATTGAGTACCGAAACGCGCGATTTTATAAGTTAGATTACTTCTAACCATTATATAAAAATAAGGAGATGTGGTATATGACAGCCAATGAGACAACTTTAAACCAAAGATTATATGAAGTGGATGTAAGCAATTACAGGCAACCAGTCTATTTTAAATGTTTTGCTTCCAATTTCAGATTTTTGTGCAATGGGGAACAATTGGGTATGACAAACTATGGCCTCTCTATGGCCGCCAGTGCATTGCACAAACATGGTATATTCAACGGGATCTGACAATAATATTAACATGTTAGTGCATCAAACTTTTTAAAAGGTTAAAAGTGGACTGTAAAATAGATGGATATTTAACGACAATTTTGTCATTTCCGTCGTAAAATGATATTTTTAAGTGTTCTTTTTCCTAAGTTAGATGACATCACTGAATTCGATTTTTCACCGGATCTTCACTAGAGATGAGCAACACGACATGTGCCACTATATAAGATCAGACCCTGTGGTAAAATAAAATCAGAGGAAATTTGACTTACCATTTAAGTTAATGTAAGGCAAAGTATACGTAATTGGATGATATATCGGATTCGATGACGTTTAGAACTCGTTGGACTGACAAAATATCATTATATCTGAAATATCGCTCAGTTACGTATACTTTGCCAGTGGCTATCAGAACCTTGTTGTATTATACAGTAAATCACCAAGATTAGATTAAATTTATTGGATTTAAGAGGCTTCAGAGTCAAATATACAGTATTTAGTTGAATATAAATAACCGCAGTAAAAAGCAATACTATGCCATTAGTCTTCAGGAGCAGAAATGATAGTTTTAGTCTTCAGGAGGAGAAATGATAGTTTTAGTCTTCAGGAGGAGAAATGATAGTTTTCCCTCCTTACACCGTGTTCTGCTATGTGATAATTGTGCTTCTGTTAAATATATTCAAATAATTTATTTAGTTTAGTCAGGATTTATAGACTTTCCGCCTATGAATTAAGGGATTTTTGTTAATACTTTTTTTATCATTGCAGAAGTCGATACAAGACGAGTAACAACATCAGTTCACGGAATTCTGGGATTTATACCAATTCCATTTCTGGGAATCCCTAAGGATTCATGTGCAAATCATAATGTAGATCATTGTCCAATCATGAATGGCGAAACAATTGTATACTCAAACCAAATATATGTAAATCCGATATTTCCATTGGTACGTATTTTTAGATCTGAATGTGGTGTGTTCTGATGGTATTGTACACTATATACATAATAATCATTTAAACAAATGAAACTTTTTTCACACCTTTTAGACATCACTTGGCGTCCGTCGTCGTCTGTTGCCTTTTGTCCGTCGAAACTATTTCGAACGTTTACTTTTCCGGAACTTTTGAATCAATTCAAACCAAACTTAAGTTGATTATTTTCGAATTATTGTTTGTAAATTTTAGGTATAAAAAACATGGCCATCTTTGCTAAAAATAGAACATAAGGGTAAAGTACAAATTACTGTCTAAATATCAATAAGATTATTTTTGATACAGTAAATCGGATGCACAAATGTTGTTCAGAACATATTAACAAATTACATTGAAATTATCTTACGATTCCTTTGACTCTGTTCCCCTTAAAACAATTTTGACTTATAGTAGTTTTTTGTTCACTAGAGAACAAATTTGTATCAATGTCAGTATTTTATTTATTATATTGAAACTCATTATAGATAGAATAATCTGTAAACAACAAACAGAATAGCAAAAATGCTGAATAGCTATAAAAATCATAAGCAATAGAAAAAATCTAAACAAAAATGTCAATACGACTGAAATCATCGTATACCCCTTGTAGAAGTTTTTGATCTTACATAACGATATTTTACCAATTTTAGCGTTTCATTTTTTTTCTTGAGAATGATGAAAAACAGGCATAACTGTCAAACCGAAATTAATGAGCAATACAGCAACTACAAAAATGCTAATATCAATGACCTCTTAACTCTCTCCTGATAGTAGGTATTGAACTTCAATGACGACATTTTACCAAATTGTTTTTCGTCAATTATCTTAAAAAATAGACATATACCGTAAAAACAAAAATGATCAGTACTACAAGAAATAAGAACTACAAGCATTCTTATATGACTGATTCCATCAACTAACTCCTTATAGTAGTTATTGAACTTATAGGACGATATTTTACAAATAAAGCATGTTGTCTATTATCTTGAAAACAATAATGGATAAACAGAGCCTATAAGCAGCTAAAATGACCAGCAAACAATTCTATAAAAATACTAACTAATAATTTTCAGGAGTTCTTGCCCTTAAAAACGATCTTTGACCAAAGGTTTCTTATTTGCTTATAATTTGGAAACTATGATAGACAAAAAGTCAAAAATGATCAGCAATACAAGAATTAAGATTAAGAAGCAAATAGACATCTACACATCATTTCATTGGTCGTAACTTGGGGAAGGACCATTTGATTTGTTATAATTATTTCATTTTTGGGGGAGGGCTTGTAGGATTTTGTATATATTTTCCCCTCAATATCTTTACAAAAATGAGTTGTCAAACTACTATGGGCCTCTAGCCCTTTAATCATATTCATGCTTTTTATTTAGAAATTGTTTGAATGTTCATAAATTTAAAAACGTGGACGGTATTAAATAAGGAGAAATGGTATGATTACCAATGTGACAAATATGTATCCACCAAAGATCAACGAATAAGGATGTGAACAACTTGGTGTCATCGTACGACTTTCAACAATAAGCAAAACCCATACCGTATACAGTATGCTGTACAAGGCCCTGTGATGTCAAAAATGTAACAATCCAAAAGGAGAAAAAAAGATCTGCGGCCTGATGTATGATAAAAACAATAAACGAAAAACAATTATCAATTGTTGTGAACAAGAAGCCGAAAATAAACTACGTGCACTGATTTGTAATTAAATAGTGACAATTTCTATGGCATTTTCAAGCGCCTTGTATCTATTTTCAGGTTAGAGTAACCGTGGAGTTCGAAGTGAAGGATGACCATCACGATATGGTATGCTTCAAGTTCCCAACAGAGATTGTCAACTAAATATATGTATAGCCATGTGAATGAAAATCCTTAAAACCGTTGAACATTTTGTTATATTTAGTAAAATAAACAAGTTTTCTATCAATTCGTATACTTATTGCGATAACATCCGTATGGATCAATTCAAAATACATACAGGAATATAACAAATTATTACCATAAACAATTAAATTCATATACATATAAAACGTACAAAAAATATACACTTTGACCGATGCGGCATATTTATTTATCCTGCCGAACTGACTTTAAATAAAGCTAATACTAACAATGAACACTGCCCTTTCCTGGATCTTGATATCTATATCTTTAACGGGAAGCTTAATACCAAAATGTATGATACAAGAGATGATTTTTCATTTCCTATTGTTAATTATCCATTTTTAGATGGTGACGTTCCCTTGTCACCATCTTATGGTGTTTATATATCTCAACTTGTTCGATTCGCTCGTGTATGTAACAACGTATTTGATTTCAACGAAAGAAATCTCTGTATTACTGAAAAATTATTACACCAGGGTTTTCGATATCACAAACTAGTCAAAACATTTACTAAATTTTATCATCGGTACAAGGACATCATTCGTTAATATAAATCAACATGCAGACATCTTATACGTTCAGGTATTTCACATCCAATATTTTATGGTGATATTCTTCACAAAGCACAAAAATGTCGGCATTCACCTCAAAAGCTAACCAAACCTTTAAACAGACTTATTCGGAAAGGATATAGTTTCGATACTGTTGTCAAGTCATTAAGGATTGCATATTTTGGTATTAATATTGATTCACTCATAGGGTCTTTGCATCGGAAATAAACACATTTATTCTAAAACCAGTTGTTGGCATGATACGGGTTATGTTCTTCTCATATATTTTATGATGGTATGATACTAAACCCCTAACGGGAGGGATTGTACCTGATTTTCATATGATGAAGACATAATCTTTCAATCAGTTTAATTGAGGTCTGGAGCTGGCATGTCAGTAACTGCTAGTAGTCCTTTGTTAATTTATGTATCATTGTCATTTTGCTTAGTTTCTTTTGTTACCTATTCTGACATCGGACTCGGACTTCTTTTAAACTGAGTTTTACTGTGCGTATTGCTATGTATTTCTTTATTCTACATTGGCTAGAGGTATAGGGGGAGGGTTGAGATCTCACAAAACATGTTTAACCCCGCCGCATTTTTGCGCCTGTCCCAAGTCAGGAGCCTCTGGCCTTTGTTAGTCTTGTATGTTTTTTAATTTTAGTTCCTTTATATGTTTTGGAGTTTAGTGTGACGTCCATTTCCACTGAACCAGTACACAATTTTATTTAGGGGCCAGCTGAGGACCACCTCCGGGTGCGGGATTTTCTCGCTGCGTTGAAGACCACTTGTGGCCTTCGGCTGTTATCTGCTCTTTGGTCGGGTTGTTGTCTCTTTGACATATTCCCCATTTCCATTCTCAATTTTATTTCGCGATGGTAACGACTGCTTCTTTATTAAGTAAAAAATAGTTGGCAAAAGTTACATTTAGGATTAAGATTCATTAAGAATGTCCGCTAATTTAATATTTTTAATAAATGTTCGGGAGCGCACAACCATCCCCATAACCATGGACAGTGGTGTAACGGCACAACATAAGAACAAAGAGTAAAAACCAATTAGAAATGGTTTGACCGGCTCATCAGTTTGGCACAAAGCACTTAAATAGTTAAATTAAAGACGAAAGACACACATTACCGACCTAAGAGTACTTCCATTTACAGAAAGCTAGTTAAAAACCAATTGCAACTAATAAATGAATCCTGTTCTCCCAGACTAAAGTATTAATCAGTACACCTCCATCGGATTGAGTGCAGAGTCGTCATATATATATATAAAAGCATGATCTTGCTCACTACCAAAATCTACGTTTATTGTATCAACAGGATGATGGACCATAAGTTTTCATAATTGTATAGCAATACACACTTAGTTATGTTTTCATTATCAACAACAACAGCAATGTTAGAACCGATAAAACACAATATTCAAAGATTTTGAAAAGAAAATAATAATCTTTTGAAAAAATTTGACATTTATAAATCTTCAGACATTTAGGCATGACACCACTAATTTATAGTCCCATTGCTTTCTATGTTAAATTCTGAAACTTCAAGCACTCATAGCTATAATTATAGTAATTTTGTATTAAGTTCAAATTAAGTGACAGTCTTTTCATGTCATAACTATGCCTTATCCTGACTTTAACTTGTGCTGAAAGATTGAACATACCTTTTATTGCATGTTAGAACGCCTTGATTCCTGGAAGTTTGGTAGTTCAAACACATGTACTTATTATCTGAGCAACAGGGAAAATATGCTCTCTTATTCAAATTTGTCCCTAAGCTTTCATTTGATACCAAAATTACCTGAATATTTTACTTATTGACAAAGTTACAGCTATGCGTAGGAACTATTTTGTTTAAGATATGTACTACTTTCTTGCTTATTCCTTCTGGACCTAGTTAGAGGTTCTATATCTGTTATTGTTTTGTTTTTTTATCCTTGTGCACTTCAAACCATAAATTGCAATGCATAACAATGAAGAAATAAATAAAAGGAACACTTAGTTCCCCTCTGATTAAAAAAAAGAAATGGCAGTAAAAATGTCTTTGCACCTCCAAATAGCATGTCTTCGTAATTGTGTGAATTAAAACAAATGTAACTACTACAACAGGTATTGTCTATGTAACTACTACAACAGGTATTGTCTATGTAACTACTACAACAGGTATTTCTATGTAACTACTACAACAGGTATTGTCTATTTAACTACTACAACATGTATTGTCTATGTAACTACTACAACAGGTATTGTCAAACCCATAGATTCATCTTAAAACCTTGAATTAGGACAATTTCTTATTTAACATCATCTACACACATATATATATCAACGGAGTAAACGGGGTTATTACTAATTCTTTAATTGTTTAGGCCATTTGTCTCTTTTATCTCTATTCTAAATTATTTTTTTCAATTGTTCTACACTATTTTAGCATCCCATTACTCTTTATTCTTTTTTTATTAACCTTTCTCCGTTCTTTATATTTTTTGTGCATTATTTTTTATCATTTCCCCATTATTCTCTATTATTTACCCATTATTCTCTATTCTGTAAACTTCATCTAGACATCGTACTGTAACTTGGAATAAATATAAAAATAAGATGTGCTATGATTGCCATTGAGACAACAATCCACCAGAGTTCAATTGACGAAGATATAAGCAAAATGTTCCTTTTTGACGAACTATTCTATGCCTTTTTATTCCGTCAAAAATAGTATTGAAATAGTTAAAGTAAATTACTATTCGGGGCGTTATTTCATCCTTTTGGAACTATATAATAAAGCAACTTTGGTCAAATGACGTGAATTGACAAATGAATCTTAACAGTTGCAATAACACTAGTTATGATGACATAGATATTGTTGTTCTATATTTATAAAAAGGTGTGTCTTTCGCAGAGGTTAGCTGCATGTTTGATACACATTAAGCTATTGCATCCAATTCGGTCTAATGGTTTCCGAATATAGTCATTTTAAGAAGTGGTTGATAAAATTCAAGTGTCTCGTAGATAAAAATCCAAAGATAGACCAAATTCTACCAAATTTAGATCTTATTTTCATTTTATCGAAAAAATTTGAGAATACGATAGATAATGATATAAATTTAGAACATGCAAGAGTATCAATGCTTTCTCGCCAATCCTTTGCTTTGTAAAAACTATAGATATGTTTGCAAATCCAAGATGGTGTTGTCGGTTTTATATTGGACTTATGAATTTTGACTGCCCCCTTACACTATTTTCTTTTTTTTGTAAATATAATTCGATTTTAAGAATAAGAAGATGTTGTATGATTTCTTATGAGACAACTCTCCACCAGAGACCAAATGACACAGAAATGACATCTGCTATTAAGAAAAAATATAAGCCTTATTTGACAACGGTTATTTATGTCAAAATTCAAAGATGGGGTAAACGTCAATGGGACAGCAAGTATACAATACAAGTGTACCGAAGGGAGACATCAATCGGCAAACGACTGCCTACCAAAAAGGAATAGCGAATAACGCAAGCCATGAAGTCCACGAGTGTAGTAAAGTTTGAAATGAATCAAACAATGATTCGTCACCAACAATCCCAACTGAACAAAACACTGTAGAGACAACGAGAATCACAGCCACTGACAAAGTTCTAGGCTTGGGACAAGCACATAGTTAATCGTTGCATGATTTGATATGGTTCGGGGATAATTTAACTCTCCTATATCATGCATTGTGAAAGACACAATATGACAGTGAAAACTTATATTGTATACTAATATTGAGAAAGCGTTGTTTTAAAAAATGTCCGTTACTCGACCCCACCCCAGTTTGGTCAATGATACTTAGGCCACCAGACAAGTTAAGTTATATGCTGATCCCTCGATTTTCATTTATTATTTAAGAGGGATTTAGGAGAGGTGGTCTTCATGCCAGTCCGAAATCTTTAATATTCATGCTTTTTTTTCTCTATTCGTTTTACCACCTTTTTTCACCTTTATTCTCTCTAGCCCTCTCTATTTTCTAATCCATACCCGACTCTCATAAGGGAGAGCCTTTTTTATTTATTGATTTCATACTAAATTTACAAATAATCAATGAGCTGACCAAAAATAATTAATTCTGTTTTTAGTTTTTTTGGGGAGGTAAAGGAGGCTACCTTTATTAAAAAATTGAAATTAACAAAATTTTTAACGAGATTGTAACTATTCTTAGACCGTGTGTGTGGATGATTTTCATACATTTCTATTTTCCTCCGTCAATAAAAGACAATCATTTTCATAATGGATTTTTTGAATATTTTTCGTCACTACTTTTTACCTTTTCAGTCTTCCATAACATTATTTCTAGATTTTTTTTTGGATTTTTTTTGGATTTTTTTTTGGGGGACGGGGGGGGGGGGGGGGGGGGGAGCTGCAGGAGAAGGATACCTTTATTGAAAAATTTAATAAAAAAAATTACTACGAGTTTTCTATTTTCTTCTGTCAATAAAAGACTATAATTTTCATTTTAGAATATTGTGTGAGTTGAATAGTTTTAACCTTTAAATATTTTGGATCGTCACCAATTTTGACCCATTCAGTCTTCCATATACCCGAAGGTAATTGAACTATCCCACAGTGCATTCACGTGACTTAGTTTTATATAAAAACCAAAGACAATGGATTGAATTCTGATAATTAAAGGAATCACGCGTGGAACGGCGGTCTTCACGAGTCCTGAACAAAAATGGAAACATCGACAACATCTCTGATTCTTCTGATGTTTGCTGGGTTGTCGGTAGCGATAGATATTCAATTCAAATACTGCAGTATGTATTTCTTTGTTTTATTTATTTAAATTATAATACGAACAAGTTTAAATCATCAAATGGATTAAAATTGTAGATCATTGTTTGAATTTAATACTTTACTGATAACAACAGTATATAAACTATAATATCATAAACTGATAATAATTTTGACCAACAATAATAGAGAGAAAGTATGGGAAGAAGCTTTTGCCATTACACGTATACAGGTATACACTTTTCAAAGTCCGATTCAAACGACATGTCTTTCAGGAATAGCCTTCCAATGGCGGATCCAGGATTTCCATAAGAGGACCCGGAGTGCCCTAATGAAAAAGTTTGCAAACATTAAGTTGGGGGAGGGGATTAAAAATTCTGGAAAATGTCATAAAAAGCAATTTTATCGAGCATAAATCCCTCTCTCCGCTCAGTTCATCCGCTTCTGCTTTCACAAGGAACGTCAAAGACCAAAATCTATTCCGCGCAAATAACGTTATAATTTTTGGAAACTAAAAATATACAAGATAATTGTAGTAACTAAAAAGCGCTGTGTGTCCTCACTCTTTTCTTGGACTCTTTGATTGACTTGTGATGTTTTTCATTAAATTCGTTCAGATGTGGACTTATTAGCACTGTGTTATATATATATATCAGCTTCGCATTGATTTTAGTACTCTTGAGTTAAATTGAGAGTACGCAGAGCTGTGTAAATGTCTCTTGTCATTTGTTATTGTACAGTGCCGTACAGTTTGGTAATCATATATCTCTTTTTTTAATGGCAGTGGCTATTCTTCCGGCTATAGCCGGAAAAATAGTAAAACATGTCTATTCTTCCGGCAATCCGCGCCACATGATATACTTCTGTTGATATTGAACATTTGCGCATCCGCAAACGGATGGCCGGAAAAATAGAGATTTTTAACCGGATTTCCGAAGGAAAAATCGGTTATTGCTTTGGGGATGTACGGCGGGCGGCTGCCAAACAGTGTCCGTGCATTTACTCATGAACCGTTCAACTAAAGCTTTTCAAATTTTAATATGTTGTTACTGATGACGAAGTGGAGGTCAAGTTCAATATTGACGATTTTAACTTTCACCGTTCAGGAGTTATGGTTCTTGAAAGATTGAAAAATGGTCTTTCCAGTCGTGTCCGTGCTTTAACTCATGAACCGTTCAACAAAAGCTTTTCAAATTTTAATATGTTGTTACTGATGACAAATTGGAGGTCAAGTTCAATATTGACGATTTTCACTTTCACCGTTCAGGAGTTGTGGTTCTTGAAAGATTGGAAAATGGTCTTTCCAGTTGTGTCCGTGCTTTAACTCATGAACCGTTCAACAAAAGCTTTTCAAATTTTAATATGTTGTTACTGATGACAAAATGGAGGTCAAGTTCAATATTGATGATTGTCACTTTTACCGTTCAGGAGTTATGGTCCTTGTGAAAAATGCCAGGACACAAATAAATGTTAAAAAATCCGGTTTGCTGTCGCTCTGACAGCCTCTTGTTAACTATTCTTCTGGCTAGCCGGAACAATAGGCACTCCGTTTTTTAATCATCATTGGTTGACAGAGGTATCATTATCAATCTTACAACATTTTCAATTTTTGTTTCATGTTCCAGATACGGAACCAGGATTTTGCTTAAGAGTTCCATGTCGAAATAATCTTTGCTGCGTCGAGCGTGGCGCAATTATATTTAAGATTTGCCACGATTAAAAAAATACCGACTTTTTGGACGAATGCTGGTAGTTCTTAATTGTGTATAAAATTGAGAATGGAAACGGGGAGTGTGTCAAAGAGACAACAACCCGACCAAAGAGCAGAAAACAGCCCAAGGGCACTAATGGATCTTCAACACTGCGAGAAATCCCCACCCCGAGGCGGGCTTCAGCTGGCCCCTAAACAAAAATGTGTATTAGTTCATAGAAAATGGTCGTCACAATAAACTCCGAAACATATAAATGAACCGAAATTAAAAAAACATACAAGACTAACAATGGCCAGAGTTCCTGACTTGGGACAGGCGCAAAAATGCGGCGGGGTTTAGCATGTTTTGTGAGATCTCAACCCTCCCCCTATACTTCTAGCCAATGTAAAATAAACAAACAAACAGCAATACGCACAGTAAAACTAAGTTTAAAAGAAGTCCGAGTCCGATGTTAGAATAGGTAACAGAAGAAACTAAACAAAATGACAATGATAACATAACTTAAATAATAGTTTTAATTACTGATATCACATTCTTTTTTTCAGAGGATGGACCCCAGAACGTAAAAAAAGTCAACATTAATCCTTGTGATAAACTTCCGTGTGTTTTCCATCATGGTGTAAATGTAACAGTCAAAGTGGATTTTGTTTCACGTACGTATTTTGTAGTTATTATAAACATACATATGATACTGGTTTCTGTGAACACGAAACATCAGTGTCTCTGAAATCCAGGAATAAGCTGCACCGAGATAAAGTTTGGAAAGATCATGATGAACCCAGATGGCACGAACAAAGCATGCAGGAAAAGTCCTCTAAATTCAAATTTTGCTTGAGGATGTTGCAACGTTATTTTTAGTACCATTGTAGGCTAATCGCACTGATTATTTATCTTTTGTTGGGGGCATGGTTTTTTCTCGTTTTTTTTCGACTTTAATATAAAGATATAACAAACAGGAACAAGATTTTTTTTTATCAAAACTAAATGTTGTATTTCCCCTCATTTCAATGGATTTAAACCATTTTGTTCACTTCCTTTCAGAAACATTTTTTTCTCACAAAATTTATGATGAAACTATTTATTTTCCACCTTCCCCTCACCCCTACTAACACACACTTAGTATATGTAAGAGAATGGTAATCCCTTTCTTCATGAATAAGTACGAGCGTTAGCGTTATTCTAAACATGATTGGTCGTTGTCTTACCTAATTTTGTGAACTGTGAAAATATGTATCATTTGAATTATGTCAAGATTGAAGCACTGAACAGTTATCACTGTGCGGATTGTATCCTCAAGGAATGATAGACAATTAGCAGTGGTGGTAAAAAAGGCTTTCGCCTTGGTTTTAGTCACTAAGTTAAGTTAACAGCCTCGGTGGTCTTGATCCTTAAATTGTTAATCAAGTAGATAGCAAACGCTTGAAAGACGTCGGTGAAATGCACCATAGTTTTTGTCTCGCTTTGACGGAGTCAAAAAGCGAGACATAGGTATGCTGTTTCTGGCGTCGAAGGCGTCGGCGGTGGCGGCGTCGACGGCGGTGGCGTCAACAATGTATTAGTTTGTGATTAGGTTTAGTTCATTTCATGGCGAACCACTAGTGGTAGGTCAATGATATTTGGTATGCAGTTGTATTAGCATTGGCACATCTCATTACCATGGAGATTATTTGGCCCAGCCCCCTCAGTAAAGGTCAGTTGACTTTGAAACTTTGATTAGTTTACATGTATTAGTTTGTGATTAGGTCAGTTTATGGGGAACCACTAGTTATGTCACGGAATAGAAGTTCCTTCATAATATAAGTTCCAAATGGAAACAATATTCTGGAATATTATTTCCACTGGAATAAATATTACAGTAAATGTTCCTAACGGAATAAATGGTATAGAATATTTGTTCCAACAAGAACAGATATTATGACATTGTTTATAACAAAGTTTCCAGTGGAACTTCTGTTAGGCGGAACAAATATACGTTGACAGGTCAATGATATTTGGTATGCAGTTGTATAAGCCATGGCATATCTCATTTCTATGGAGATTATTTGGCCCCGCCCCCTTATTCATGCTCTATATATTGACTTTGAAACTTTTGCTTAGTTTTCATGTATTAGTTTGTGATTAGGTCAGTTTTAGGGTAACTGTTAGTGGTAGGTCAATGATAATTGGTATGCAGTTGTATAAGCAGTAGCACATCAAATTTCCATGGAGATTATTTGACCCCGCCCCCTTATTTATGCTCTATTGACTTTGAAACGTTTGCTTAGTTTTCATGTATTTGTTTGTGATTAGGTCAGTTTAAGGGTAACTGTTAGTGGTAGGTCAATGATATTTGGTATGCAGTTGTATAAGCAGTAGCACATCTCATGTCCATGGAGAATATGTGGTCCTTACCCCTCAGTCATGGTCTATTGACTTTGAAACTTTTGCTTAGTTTACATGTATTGGTTTGTGATTAGGTCAGTTTAAGGGTAACTGTTAGTGGTAGGTCAATGATATTTGGTATGCAGTTGTATTAGCATTGGCACATCTCATTTCCATGGGGATTATTTGGCCACGTCCCATCAGTCAAGGTCTGATGACTTTGAAACTTTGCTTAGTTTACATGTATTAGTTTGTGATTAGGTCAGTTTATGGGGAACCACTAGTGGTAGGTCAATGATATTTGGTATGCAGTTGTATTAACATTAGCACATCTCATTACAATGAAGATTATTTAGCCCTGCCCCCTCAGTCAAGGTCTATTGACTTTGGAACTTTGCTTAGTTTACATGTATTAGAGTGTGATTAGGTCGGTTTATGGGGAACCACAAGTGGTAGGTCAATGATATTTGGTATGCAGTTGTATAAGCATTGGCATATCTCATTTCCATGGAGATTATTTGGCCCCGCCCCTCATTCATGGTCTATTGACTTTTAAAACTTTTGCTTAGTTTTCATGTATTAGTTAGCTGCACCGAGATAAAGTTTGGAAAGATCATGATGAACCCAGATGGCACGAACAAAGCATGCAGGAAAAGTCCTCTAAATTCAAATTTTGCTTGAGGATGTTGCAACGTTATTTTTAGTACCATTGTAGGCTAATCGCACTGATTATTTATCTTTTGTTGGGGGCATGGTTTTTTCTCGTTTTTTTTCGACTTTAATATAAAGATATAACAAACAGGAACAAGATTTTTTTTTATCAAAACTAAATGTTGTATTTCCCCTCATTTCAATGGATTTAAACCATTTTGTTCACTTCCTTTCAGAAACATTTTTTTCTCACAAAATTTATGATGAAACTATTTATTTTCCACCTTCCCCTCACCCCTACTAACACACACTTAGTATATGTAAGAGAATGGTAATCCCTTTCTTCATGAATAAGTACGAGCGTTAGCGTTATTCTAAACATGATTGGTCGTTGTCTTACCTAATTTTGTGAACTGTGAAAATATGTATCATTTGAATTATGTCAAGATTGAAGCACTGAACAGTTATCACTGTGCGGATTGTATCCTCAAGGAATGATAGACAATTAGCAGTGGTGGTAAAAAAGGCTTTCGCCTTGGTTTTAGTCACTAAGTTAAGTTAACAGCCTCGGTGGTCTTGATCCTTAAATTGTTAATCAAGTAGATAGCAAACGCTTGAAAGACGTCGGTGAAATGCACCATAGTTTTTGTCTCGCCTTGACGGAGTCAAAAAGCGAGACATAGGTATGCTGTTTCTGGCGTCGAAGGCGTCGGCGGTGGCGGCGTCGACGGCGGTGGCGTCAACAATGTATTAGTTTGTGATTAGGTTTAGTTCATGGCGAACCACTAGTGGTAGGTCAATGATATTTGGTATGCAGTTGTATTAGCATTGGCACATCTCATTACCATGGAGATTATTTGGCCCAGCCCCCTTATTTATGCTTTATTGACTTTGAAACTTTTGCTTAGTTTACATGTATTGGTTTGTGATTAGGTCAGTTTAAGGGTAACTGTTAGTGGTAGGTCAATGATATTTGGTATGCAGTTGTATTAGCATTGGCACATCTCATTTCCATGGGGATTATTTGGCCACGTCCCCTCAGTCAAGGTCTGATGACTTTGAAACTTTGCTTAGTTTACATGTATTAGTTTGTGATTAGGTCAGTTTATGGGGAACCACTAGTGGTAGGTCAATGATATTTGGTATGCAGTTGTATTAACATTAGCACATCTCATTACAATGGAGATTATTTAGCCCTGCCCCCTCAGTCAAGGTCTATTGACTTTGGAACTTTGCTTAGTTTACATGTATTAGATTTTGATTAGGTCAGTTTATGGGGAACCACAAGTGGTAGGTCAATGATATTTGGTATGCAGTTGTATAAGCATTGGCATATCTCATTTCCATGGAGATTATTTGGCCCCGCCCCCTCATTCATGGTCTATTGACTTTTAAAACTTTTGCTTAGTTTTCATGTATTAGTTTGTGATTAGGTCAGTTTAAGGGTAACCACTGATGTTAAGTCAATGATATTCGGTATGCAAATGTATTGGCATTTGCAAGTTTCATTTCCATGGAGATTATATAACCCCACCCCCTAATTATGGTTCATTGACTTTGAAACTTTTACATAGTTTACAAGTTAATGTTTGATTTTAGGTTTGTTTAAAGGGAACGACTTATGAAAAGTCAATGGTATTTGGTTTGCAGTTGTATTAGCATTGACACATCTCATTTCCATGGAGATTGTTTAGCCCTGTACCTTCAGTCATGGTTCATTGACTTTGAATATTTGCATAACTTACATGTTAAAGTATTGCTATTTTAATTTCAACATTTGCATGATCAAAATAACAAATAGGCGAGACATATCTCTGTGTTAACAGTTTATCAAATTATCTTATAAAAATGAGAATGGAAACAGGTAATGTGTCAAAGAGACAACAACCCGACCAAAGAGCAGGCCACCAATGGTAGCATTTAACAATTCTACATATTTAAAGTTTTCAGTCAGAAGATCATATCGATTTAGGTTTTGACTCGAAAAGCCCTGGTGTCGTAAACATTGCTATAAAAAGAATTTACGGGAGAAGTGAATAAGAGACAGAAGACACGAAAAAGGGACTTAATAAGACATCATTGGTCGAAGAAAATCTGACAAAATGAAAAACCACGAAAAGACAACAGTCGACAGGACACTACATAGAAAACTAGACTGAGTACTAGAAACCCGGGTTCATATGTGACACAAGTGAAATAAACAACTTACAAGTACGATGATATTTGTAGAAAAAACGGTGGCGATGTCTATTCCGCTTTTAATCAAAATCTTACAAATCTTACTACAGCGTGGCAATACGTGCATATTTAGTTATTTAATTTCATATTATAAAACATACTTTTGTATTAATATTTGCAGCTGCAAGTTCTGCCTCGCTGGAAGCCGAAATTTTTGGCATACTCGCAGGCATTCCAATAAAATTCAACATGCCTAATCCAAATGGTTGTAATGATTGCGGAATAACCTGCCCTATCAAACAAAATATGGAATATGTATACAGCAGTGAATTTTTCGTCATGAAGAGTTACCCGAACGTAAGTGACAATATCTTGCTAACAAATAATTATGCTAATTTGTTAAATGATTATGTGTACTGAAAAGTGACAGGTTCAGATAATTAAGACAGGGAAACTTATTCTTTAAACTCAATTATATCGCATTTTAACTTCAGAACTACTATTTTTTCTTGTATGCAAGTTCCCGCTACTGTAAAAATATGCGGCAGACGCAATTTTACAAATTGTAGATAAACTCATCATAGTACCAGGCTTCTAACTTTGTACACCAGACGCGTTTTGTCTACAAAAACTCCTCAGTGATACTCGAAATGATTTTTGTTTCATATAAAAACACACTTTTTTGGTCAGTGGTGTTTATTATTATTTTAGAAATACTTAAAGAATGCTATTTATTTATTTATCATGTCTTCGACTTCGCGTGAAAAAGACAAACAGATATCAGTAGTGCCTCAATTTTTTTTGTATGGTTCTGAAAAAAAGACAATACATGATGAGACCCAGAAAAATAACCAGGGGATTGACCTATCAGTTTCCACTGGTCGTCCTATACACAAACTTAAGTGTGACTTGAGAATAGGAAATATGGTCACCTTTGGTCTTTTTTTCTCCGACCGACAGTAAAACCTTTGTCAAAGTAGTAACGTTTGGCTGTGCGGATACATACATTTGCTGCCACGTCCTGGCAAAATGGGGACGGACAAAGAGAGTGCCACGCTTTCTGTACGTCAAAGAACCCTTGCAACATTTCTTTTAGGGTTCTGTAGGTGGCTTGTTGCCTTTATCCAGCATACCATTGTTTTTCAGTGGCAGTCTCAATCTCCCGCCCTTCATTCCGGTCGATTAAAAGTATATATTAAGGAAGTTAATTAAATATCACATTGATGAATTCATTAATTGTTTTTTGATAATATCTTTTACAGATCCAGCTTGCCGTTCAATGGGACTTGAGGGCTGCCAACAAGGACTTTTTGTTTTGTTTTGAATTTCCAATGACAATAATAGACTAATAATAAATTAGATTAAACCGTGTTGATATATGTTTAATTATACCTTCTTTTATTTTCATGCACAATTAACGTCATAAAACAACAACGACTATTTATTTGCTTTTCTATTAGTACAATACCCGGAGTAAAATCTTCATAACAGCTTCTTGTATATTTATAGGAATAGTAACCTCGGTTTTGAAAAAATAAAAATCCTGATGTGATGCTGACTATCACCATACAATATTGTTGTTTTCCCTTTGACTATCACCATACAATATTGTTGTTTTCCCTCTGACTATCACCATACAATATTGTTGTTTTCCCTCTGACTATCACCATACAATATTGTTGTTTTCCCTCTGACTATCACCATACAATATTGTTGATTTCCCTCTGACTATCACCATACAATATTGTTGTTTCCCCTTTGACTATCACCATACAATATTGTTGTTTTCCCTTTGACTATCACCATACAATATTGTTGATTTCCCTCTGACTATCACCATACAATATTGTTGTTTTCCCTCTGACTATCACCATACTATATTGTTGTTTTCCCTCTGACTATCACCATACAATATTGTTGTTTTCCCTCTGACTATCATCATACAATATTGTTGTTTTCCCTCTGACTATCACCATACAATATTGTTGTTTTCCCTTTGACTATCACCATACAATATTGTTGTTTTCCCTCTGACTATCACCATACAATATTGTTGTTTTCCCTCTGACTATCACCATACAATATTGTTGTTTTCCCTCTGACTATCACCATACAATATTGTTGTTTTCCCTCTGACTATCACAATACAATATTGTTGTTTTCCCTCTGACTATCACCATACAATATTGTTGTTTTGTTTTCCCTCTGACCATCACCATACAATAGTGTTGTTTTCCCTTTGACTATCACCATACAATAGTGTTGTTTTCCCTTTGACTATCACCACACAATATTGTTGTTTTCCCTCTGACCATCACCATACAATAGTGTTGTTTTCCCTTTGACTATCACCATACAATAGTGTTGTTTTCCCTTTGACTATCACCACTCAATATTGTTGTTTTCTCTTTGACTATCACCATACAATATTGTTGTCTTCCCTTTGACTATCACCATACAATATTGTTGTTTTCTCTTTGACTATCACCATACAATAGTGTTGTTTTCCCTCTGACTATCACCATACAATAGTGTTGTTTTCCCTCTGACTATCACCATACAATATTGTTGTTTTCTCTTTGACAATCACCATACAATATTGTTGTTTTCTCTTTGACTATCACCATACAATATTGTTGTTTTCTCTTTGACTATCACCATACAATATTGTTGTTTTCCCTCTGACTATCACCATACAATATTGTTGTTTTCCCTCTGACTATCATCATACAATATTGTTGTTTTCCCTCTGACTATCATCATACAATAATGTTGTTTTCCCTCTGACTATCATCATACAATATTGTTGTTTTCCCTCTGACTATACAATATTGTTGTTTTCCCTCTGACTATCACCATACAATATTGTTGTTTTCCCTCTGACTATCATCATACAATAATGTTGTTTTCCCTCTGACTATCACCATACAATATTGTTGTTTTCCCTTTGACTATCACCATACAATATTGTTGTTTTCCCTCTGACTATCACCATACAATATTGTTGTTTTCCCTCTGACTATCACCATACAATATTGTTGTTTTCCCTCTGACTATCACCATACAATATTGTTGTTTTCCCTTTGACTATCACCATACAATATTGTTGTTTTCCCTCTGACTATCACCATACAATATTGTTGTTTTCCCTCTGACTATCACCATACAATTTCCCTTTGACTATCACAATATACTATATTGTTGTTTTCCCTCTGACTATCACCATACAATATTGTTGTTTTCCCTTTGACTATCACCATATAATATTGTTGTTTTCCCTCTGACTATCACCATACAATTTCCCTTTAACTATCACCATACAATATTGTTGTTTTTCCTTTGACTATCACCATACAATATTGTTGTTTTCCCTCTGACTATCACCATACAATATTGTTGTTTTCCCTCTGACTATCACCATACAATATTGTTGTTTTCCCTCTGACTATCACCACACCCTATTGTTGTTTTCCCTTTTTATTTTATCTTCTCGATGGTCGAGTGGTATGAGACTGAAGGTCGTCTATATTGATAACTATAGACTGGTGTTCTTAGTTCGAACCCCGCTTCGGTAAGGTGCGTTTGACTACAATCTTAACTGAATATGATTACCAGTTTTCTTGTCGAAAGTCAGCGGTTCTCTCCAGATACTCCGGCCTCCTAATAAATAAAAACTGTCCGAGTGTGCTTTAAGGGACATAACACACCATCAATCAATCAGGAAATACAAAATTCATCAAATTAAATATTTTAGAGAAATAACCAATCTACCATTTGTGAAAAAAAAACAAGCCATGGACCTGCTTTCTGTGACCATATTTTCTCCATAATATGATCTAACCAACATTAGATATCCAAGATCGCAGAAAGTTGCGTTAAACACCAACAAGCAAAAACAGTTCAAATACTGTGGTTTCTATTACTTTAGATATATATGTTAGATGTGTACTGATTGATATTGTAGTCTTAGATACATGGTTTTTTTATTAGTTGTTATTAGCTTTGAACTAGCTTTCAATAACTGCGAGTACTATCAGATCTGTACTTTGTGCCTTTTGTGTTTTTGTTAGCCTAGGGTTTTTCGGCTTTGTATCGATCTGATGAGTAAGTTGTTTTTCAACTGACTTTTATAGTTTGTTCTGATGTACTGTTACACCACTGTCCCAGGTTAGGCGAAGGATGTGGCGCCATCAAACATGTTTAATCCCGCCACATTCTGTATGTGCCTGTCCCAAATCAGGATCCTGTAATTCATTGGGTGTCGTTGCTGTATATATCATATTTGTTTTTCCTTTTATTTTATTTTTACATAAATCAGGCCGTTAGTTTTCTCGTTTGAATTATTTAACATTTGTCATTTCGGGGCCTTTTATAGCTTACTATGTGGTATGGGTTTTGCTCATTGTTGAAGGCCGTACGGTGACCTAAAGTTGTTAACTTTTATGTCATTTGGTCTCTGGTGGAGAATTGTCTCATTGTCAATCAAACCACATCTTAGTTTTATAAGCTGACATGAGATGGTTTTGGCTGTTATTTTAGATCACTTTGGGGCCAAACAAAAACTCGTCGAAGAAAGGCAGACACCATTGGCAAGCGAAAATGCAAACAGACAAATAATGCAACATGCGACACACAACACTAATGTTTGAGCAATATGAATCTCAACGTCCTCCTGAACCATTTGTCTGAAGTCATCACAGTCGCACTCGAATATTTGTGTCGCACAGGTTCCAAAAGCGACTTGATTGACCCTAAAATGAATATTTGTGTCACATAGGTTCCAATAACTACTTGATTGACCCTAAAATGAATATTTGTGTCACATAGGCCTCAATCAAGTCGATGTTAAAAAAATCCAACCAAATGTTAAAACAAATTCTCTGATGTGAATTAGTTACTCTTCTAATATAAATATATATTTTCTGTGTTGAGTTTCAGTGTTTTCTATTACATTTCCGGATTTCTGTTATCTTTTCTTTGTATTTGATTGATTGAGAGGGTGCTAGTGTTATTTGTTGTGTACTTTTGTCAATTTTGATTTCCGGCATGATGCTGACTATCACTATTTTTTATTAATCTGTTTTCATATTATATTTTTTTTAATTGTTTTTTTCTTCTAAAATAGATTTTTTTCATGAAACTCGACCATGTGACATCCAGCCAAATGAAGGCATTGGTTAAAACTATTGCTATGATAAAAAAAATTATGTTAATTTTCTATTTTTGTCTTCATCTTTTATCAAAATAATCAGTATCATTTATCTTCACCTTACATGCCATTCTTGTGTAACACTGATTAGTTGATTTAAGATGTTTTCTAATTATGGAAAGGTTAAGAGAAGGGTGTGCTTGCACTATGTCGGCTCGGATAAGACTATGTTGGAATAGCTGTTTTCCTGGTGTGTTATTTCTATGTCTAATGAATAATGGATGTAATAGGTTAAAGCTGCACACCATCCATGGTTGATAGCAGAATATACATTATATTTAATTATATAAGATAAAACATTTTGCCTCCGGTTTCCCAGTTTTTAGTTGTATAAATTTGTGTTGGTATTATGAATTTTAAATGTAAATATTCAGTTTTTATTGCCGGCCACGAAAATCGCAAAAGCGAGACTTTGTGAGCTGTTTTTTTGGTATGTTGTCATCAATTGTTTAAGTTTTTCAATCATTAGACACACACATACACATCTTTGTGCTAAAATAGATATAAGAAGATGTGGTATGAATGCCAATGAGACAACTCTCCATCCAAGTCAAAATTTATAAAAGTAAACCATTATAGGTTAAAGTACGGTCTTCTACACGGAGCCTTGGCTCACACCGAACAGCAAGCTATAAAGGGCCCCAAAAATTACTAGTGTAAAACCATTCAAACGGGAAAACCAACGGTCTAATCTATATAAAAAACGAGAAACACTTATGAACCACATCAACAAACGACAACTACTGAACATCAGATTCCTGACTTAGGACAGGTGCAAACAATTGCAGCGGGTTTAAACGTTTTATTGGTACCAAACTTTCACCCTTATCTGAAACAATAGTGTAACATCACAACATAGAAAAACACACTATAAAATATCAATTGAAATGGCTTAACTCAATCAAAAGACATATTAACACCAGTGAACATACACTGAACAAATAAATTTGATCTATGATACAATGCAAATACAAAATAAATAAACTAAGGGAAAAATATTTAAAGTAACATTTTATACCGCTTTGAAATGTTAAACAATTTAAGAAAAACAATATACTAGAACAAAAATATCAGCCATTTGCTTTATCGAATTATGTAAATCTATAAATGTCTTTTACATTGTTATTATTTTCCATAAAATTTAAGTTATTATAATAAAAGC